GTAATGCTGAACACAGGGTTACTTTATTTGGATGATATTTTCTTATCTCTGTGGCTGTTGGTGCTTAGCATAAAGCATTGCCAGATAAGGGACTGAAAGAAGCCATTGCAGAGAAGGAAGTGTTGGTTTCTTTAGAAAAAGTCACTCCATTCCTAGTAATGGTTTGTCTTTGGCTTTGTTTGAGCTACAATGATGTTAAAAACCTGGGATACGTGGTGTGTTCCGTTATAGAAATAACCACGCAGCACATGCAGTGGTTGTTCAGCCAGCAGAGAGCTATTTCCCTGATATTTTCCTTTCTCTCCCAGGGAGGAATCATTTCATTTATGGCTCCTAGAGCCAGAAGACTCAATTTATAGCAAAAAGATAAAAGAAAAATATGAAAAAAAGTCCTCAGTCCCTTTTCCCCCTGCTCCCTTATCTTCTTGTCAGCCTTGTTTCTCAGTGCACTGAATTCAGACATTATAAACCTAATGGAGGTTATAAACTCATATTAGAACTTTCCATGGCCAAATATTGTGTTGCATAAGAGAAATGTATTTATCTTTTCTTGTAATTTGTATAATGTCTCATGCATTAGGTTTTAAGTCAGTGAATGTGCCAGACAGGCAGAGATTGGGGTGAATATCCTATTCCAGAGCAGCCAGAATCAATAGAGGTTTTACACTGAGGGAGTTCCATTAGTTCCTTCCAATTTGAACCTATGCTAATATGCATTCAAGTGAGGAGCTCCTTCCTAACAGCCTCTGATGCATGTGTTGGTAATTTCAGCTGCCATGGACTTAAGTGTTTATTAGCATTTAGTTGTAGCTGAAAACACACTGATTGGGTCACTGTGCATGCCAGCCACCTCTAAGTTCAAATTCAAAGTTTTCACCCTCATTGGATAAACAAATGAGTACAAGGATTAATAGATTTAATTAATCTAGAGCTGTAATAGTGCTGGCATGGTGCTGAGGTGTATTTTTGTCATCTTGGCTGACTTTGAAGATGATATTTAAATATATTAACCAGGAGCATCTTCAGTGTGCACGGGGCACTTCTGCGTGTGCAGGGAACGGTTCCATAATGAAGAAAGACAGTTTCTGCTATAATTTCCAGTGTGTAAATAAATTTGGGTTTGTTCAGTTTATTTGCTTGGTTATATTGGGCGCTTTTATAATATTTTCAGAGTGTCTTGCAGTATTTCTCACTTGTGGCTTTGCTGGCTTCCTGTCAAGTCACTAAGTGAAATAGAATTGCAGGATGATTTCTCTAGGCTTTCAGTGGCATTTGAAATATCTCTTCTAGCCACCTGGTAGAACATCTAAAAAGTCATTTAGCTCTAAATATTATATGAATTTAAGGGAGTGCATATGGAGTGTTTTACTGAAAGAAACCAAAGCACATAATTTTTTTTTTTTAATCTCAAGGACCATAATTAGAAGATACTTAAGGGCAGATAAAATGCTAGAAGTATTTGTTCAGTCACAGTGAGCTGTGACCAACTTTTTTGTCAGTAATCCTTTCTGTCTTGTCCCTATTGCCCCCAAAAGAGGAGGAGATGGCAAAATAAAAGGATATAACAAAAATGACAGGTGCAATCAAAAGCAGTCTCTCTGAAGGAAGAGATTAAAGTATATGGATTCTTCTGAGCATTTGAGATTTGGCAGCATATTAAAGAGAAAGCTGAAGGAGATAGACTAAAAACATGATCTTTTTCTTGATACCTAAGAACAAGGAGCTATTCAATTAAATCAACAGAGTTAAATTGATAATAGGAAGTGTGTCTCTTTGAATGTTTTCTGTTTGCAGATTTTTGCTACAATGTGCCTTTGAAAGGGGAAGAATAGAGGCCAAGCTTAGACCAAGAATTTGGCAAAATACATTTTTTCCCTGTGATTGCTTTGTGAATATTTGGCAATACAGTTGGCCATGAACTTCTGAGGCTGAGGAAGGAAGAGAGAAAATTTCTGGCCTGTGGAGGATAAGGACTACATAACAACATGTTGGTACCAAGGGCACACTTTCTACATGCATTGGAGAATTTCTCTCTCTTCAAAATAAAGTATTTCTATTGATGCTCTTCTGTATGGAAGAGGAAAGCAGAGGAAATTGATGTGGGAAAAAAGAAGAGTTGTATGTGTGAGTATGGGCTGGCCCCAGCAATTTTGGCTCCAGCACCACTTTAGAGAAGGGTGATCCCCATTCCCAGTCTTCCAGTGATCTCCCTAGGGTACATTTCTTGTCATGGTGCTGATCTCTCTGTCTTCTTCTTGAGCTGAGGAAGTGAAAAAGCAGATGGCTGATGTCAGAGTGCATTTGCCCTTCAGACTGTATTTATCCTTTTCTCAGATGAGAGCACATTGTGCATTTGTTGTCAATTGTGTATCATAGCCGTCATTTGGGTTGATTTATTTGTAAATACAATACTTTTATAAGAGAAGTTGTAGCTGCAGCAGGAATGTGGGTGCAGAGGTTCAGGGGCAGAGTACAGTTTAAGTTCCAGACAATCCAGTGACCAGGGATGGGCTTATTTCTTCTGTGGCTTCAGTCAGACAACCTGCTGCTTCCTGTGCAGCAAATATCACTGATGTGTTGCTCCGGTGTGGCAGCTGTGAGGTGGCAGCTCAGTGGAGCCATCCCTGCTGTCTTGACAAAACCACTTTTAAAATTTTTTTAACATTTTGATTCCACTGTGTTTCTGCTGGGCTTGAAGAGGACTCTGCCCACTGTGGGTTAAATGCAGGTAGATATCAGAGATATAGTGTGGTCTGTTGTAGAATGGGCATTTCTAATCAGCAACTGAGGCAATCTAGCTGGGAAAAAGAACATTTGACTTGGGGAAAGCAACTGGAAAAACCTACAGGAATAAGTCTGCTCCTTGGTAACAAAATCTAAAGCAAACAAAATAAAAACAACGGCAGCGGGCCCTCAAAGTGAGAGGGGTGGAGAATAACAGGAAGGGAATGGGAAGCAGTAAGTGCCTTGGGAAGTGGATGTTGAGCTGGGCTCTGCCTTAATTTGCAGCATCTTGGCTCCAGCAGGTTTCAGTACAAGTAGGCGAGCCATGCAGAGAGCAGTAGCAGAAGATGAGTTGTTTAAATGACTCCCAGCAGCGTGTTTCATAATGTTTTGTGCAAACGTGTTTAGCCCAATAACTTCTGTTCCTGGCACGTGAACAGTGCCAGGGAGGCTGTGGCTGCCTTGTCAAGATTTTATGGAGACTGGGAAGGGCCTCAGTGAAAGCTCTCAGCTGGTGTGAGCAAATCCAGCCATGTCTTGTGGGGCTGTGCAGGGCATCGGGTGCTGCTCCAGCACAGGCATCCCTCCCTCCATCCCCAGTCAAACTGGGCTGACATTGATGGCTTTTCTCCTCCCTCTGTAAATCTGTTGTTCTTCAGCCTGAGTTCAGTGAGAAATACAAAGGCATGGTGGGTCTTTCTGCGTGAAATGTTCCTCTGTGAGGTTCAGACAACTGTTTTTACATAGTGGTGCTGTAAGGGAAAAACCCAATTTCAGTTTGTCCATGTGCACTTTGATATTGTGGCTATGTTAAGCTGATACATCTATACTAACATGCTTTCCTGTTTGGGCAAAACCTGTTATTGACTTGTGAATGCATGCAATGCCATTGAGCTTATTTATTGTGTTGAATATAATAATAGTGATATTCTTTATTTGCCAGTATAAATGGGGAGGGGAGGATTGTGCAGCTTTAGTTAGACAGCAATGCAGTTAGAGAATTTTTTTAGATTCCTGAACACTCTGCAAGTGTGGTGAGGTTAGTCATAAAGTTATTTAAATAAGTTATTAAGTAACTGGTTATACAGCCTCATTCAAATTAATGAATGCAAGAGTAGATTTCTTTGAAAGCAGGCAGTAATTTCTCTGCGTGCATTAATCTAACAATTGTGTTTCTGTTGCCTGTCCTGGTGTTTTTCCTAGTAATCAGAAAAGCAGTGGGAAGTAATTTTTTTGTCGATTATACAATAGTTAGAAGGTAAACATGCTGTGAGTTTAGAACAGCCCTCATGTAGTTAATGGGTGTATATTTCTGAGGACATGGGTATGTACTGTAATCTCTGTGTGTGTGACTGTAAAGGAATAAATCTGCAGGTTTCACCAGCTTTTTCCTTACTGGGTTTTGATGATGAATTTGACCACCTCTTTTCACAGAGTAAGGATGATTGCTCACCTGTTAACCACAGAAGAGTCTGTCTGTGAGGATATTCCTGTGCACAGAGGTGTCCCTGTTCCCTTACGATGCACATACAGTAAGTGATTTTATTTTAGCTCTTTTGTTCCTGACCCTCTCTGCTGTGTAAACACTCACTATGAATCAGCTCAAAGATGAGCCCACCAGTTGGTTTTCAAAAGTGACCCACCCATCCATTTTTGTATTATTTTTCTCTCAATTGGGTTAATGTAAGGGAGTGTATTGGGGTCCTGGTTGGGATTCCTCAAGTTCCATGTCCTCTCTTCTGCCTCAGCTACTTAGTTTGTGGAGCTGTTTTACATATCTGTAAACAACACATCCTGCAAGAAGCCGTGTAGCCTTGGGAATAACCAACAAAGCCGTGCATGGCCTGGGAAAGTGGCAGCAGAAATGTCAGTGCCAGCTTTGCCAGGAAGTTTTGTGTGCTTGCATTATCACGATCTAACTCCCGTCAGTAAGCTTTGTACAGAAACATTTTCAAATTGGATGAATCTCAAGTTTTCACAAATAAGGGCTTGACAGAAGAAGAACTATAATGTCCCCTCTTAGAAATAATGAAGTAGTGGGCAGACATTGCATTTTTGTGTAGGAATAAATACTTGCTCTGGCTGTTTTCCTCCTAAATAATCAAACCTACCCACCAGATTGTATTTGGAAGCACTTACTAATGTGACATGCTCTGTTTTAACTGTTCAGAGAAATGACTGAAAGTTTTAAGATGAGACAACATGAATCATAGTCTTGAGCGGCTGTTCACTTTTGTGATTGACTTGCCTCCTTCCTACGTTCCTTTTAGTCACCCTGGGGATCGCTGAAGCTGTTCTGTGCAGGAGGCATTGCTGAGATTCCCCTTGCAGCCATGGACTTGGACAAACAATCCGTGTGGGGATCCCTGAAACAGAAGACCCGGCCATTCCTGCGGAACCTGAGCGTGAGGAAGACGAAGAAGAGGTCTGGCAAGATGCTGGAGAGGAAGGGCCACTCCTTGGACCGCTGTCTCAGCGTGTCAGTGCCTGACATGCTGGAGGTGGAGACTCTCATGGAAGAAGAAGAAGAAGAAGAAACTACTTACTCCAGTGCTCAGGTGTTGTCGAGCTGCTCCCCCAAGAGCTTTTCCAGGTCTGTGGTGTCCCTGAAGAGCAGAAACGCTTCGGTGAAGGCAGTGGGAGAGGACTGGCTGTGGGCGTCGCAGCAGAGGACGCGGATGGAGGTGACAGTCACCCCCCCGGACACGCAAGCTGTGGGCATTCACCTGGTGTCCTCACGAGGAGCTGAGGCTGGGGGCAGCCCCGTGTCTGAGGGGAAGAAGAGGAGATCCAGCGAGGACCTCTTTGACCTGCTGCAGAGCTCCCGGCTGAGCGCCACGCTGAGCGAGGAGGGGACAGAGGTGGGTGCTGGAGCAGCAGTGGGGCTCAGTCCCCACCTCCTGTGGGCTCCTTGTGCTTCTCCTTAATTTTGTGGCTTATAAAGGGATGGAGGATCCAACCAAGGCCAGGCTGGACAGGGCTCTGAGCAGCCTAGTGTAATAGGAGGTGTCCCTGCCCATGGCAGGGGCTGGAATGAGGTGAGATTTAAGATCCTTTCCCATCTGAACTATTCTTTGAGGAGGGGGCTCCGTTCAAGGAATGAATGAGCAATGCAAATAAGCCTAAACTTTATACACGTTATTCAAGACTAATTCAGCTATCCTTCCTGTCAGTCTGGGGCTGCAAATAACATTGCTCAAATTTTTTAGTTTTTATAATTCTTCTATTATTTGTAATGACACTTCAGATTTTTCCAGATCTGTTGGAATTGCTTGCTCAAATCAAAAGTTGTTGCAGTTCTCTGAGCTCTGAATTGAGGTGCTGATACATTTGCTTTCTAGTTAATATAGTTACCAGGATTTCTATGTAGTACAATCAATTTGCCATCCACCCACTCAAGACTGATAAAGGCAATAGGTGAAAGATGGCTGTGAGCTCTGCCTGTTCCTGAAATTAACGAAAACAAGAACATGATAGGGAACAGAACATGTAGCATCATTCTCAAGACTGTTTTTTTGATTTTTGTGGTGATGACTGAAGGAGGTTGAAAAACTAAAATGTTTTCTCTGCACTGTCTTGTCCCCCTTTCCTTCCCCCTGCTTTGTGGCCAGTATTTGTGTTTGGACATTATGTCTCAGGAGGATCAGAGACCAATACTGTCATGAAACTAATTCCTGCCTGGCCTGAGCAAATTGGGAATCCTGAGGAGCTCTATGATAGCTTCATTATATCGACAGCAGGTGAAGATTGTGGCTGCAGGAAATGCTTCAGGCAAAATTTGTTTTAGTTAGATTTTGTGGAAGTATGTCTACTCCTGTTGAGTCTTCTCTGGGAAGGTTACACTTTGAACTTTCTGAGGCCTTTTTCTCATTACCTGATTATTGCAGTTGTGGGAGCTGCCTCTGTAGTCATCAAAGATGCCAAAATGGGAACTGAGCGTTTTTTGTTCCAAGTCCTCCCTTGGGAATAGGGATTTCACAGGTTAATTGGTTTTTAACTGCACCTTCAAAAGGACGATTAGCACTGATGTGGGGAAAGTGGTCCTTTCTGATATCAACTGCTTCTTTTGCATCTCAGAGGCCTGTGTATTCCTGCCAAATGTGTGTTTGCTCCCAGTCTGTTGTGATGCAAAGTGTCAGACTGGTAGTTACTGACCATCACTTGCGGTTTAGGGTTGCTAAATTGTTCACAAATTGGTTTCATCTTGCTGGAGTGTTCATTATTTTGAGGGCTACTTAAGAAAAGCGACTGAAATAGTACAGTGCTTTGTTTCTCTGCTCAAAACGTTGCTCAAAAGTTGTAGCACATCACTCGGTATATGGTAACTATGTGGCCTCTTGTTATTTTGGAAGTTTTTCCAGCAGCAGCTTTTTCCTGCTGTTGTATGCCAGAAACCCTAATCTAAAATCTACCTCAGCACAACGAAGTTAATAGTGTTCTAGGAGAATGAAGTACCTGTATAGTGATGAAATAGCTTCACCTCAAGTCAAGTTTCATCCAGATGCACAGTCTGAGTGGCTTATTTTCTGCAGCACTTACATCTTTCCCTAAATGTGTATTTCTGTATTTGCTGGTGTGTGTAAATCATTTGGTATTTACTTGTATGGCAAATCATCTCTCTGTGTGAATATGCTCCCTTACTGTAATCAGCCTCCAGCAACTTATAAAGATCTTTTTCCTCGAGAATAAAAGGAGAGAGTGAAGCAAAAGAAAGTAGAAATGAGTAAGGAGTATTGAGCAAATTTAATGATATTGAATCTGGTGAAAAACAAATTCAATATTGGAAGGTGTCCATGGCAGGGAGGGTGGAACTAAATGATGTGTAAGGTCCATAGCAGCCCAAGCCTTCTCAGTATTCTATGATTCTATGACAGCTTCAATAATCAGCTTTGCTTGTACTTAATTGAACAGTAACCGGATTTGTGTTGTGTGTGCCTCGGATGGGAATAGTTTGTTACAGAGGACTTTGGTCCCTGAGTGCTGGGTGGGGTTGCTCTGCGGAGCACAAGAGTTCCCATTGTTCTCGTGTGAGCATCACTCCCTGCCCAGGGAGGTAAATCCGAAGGAAGGCAGATCCCTGGAACAAAACAAACTACAAAAAGCAGAAATGTAGGTTGAGCTTCTTTCCCCCCTGAATTGCTTGTCACATGCCACCTACGCATTTCCTGGTTGTCTTTGGCCACCTGATACTGTGAGATCCTCACGGGTGAGATCAGCATGTGCTTGTGGTTTTGTCACTTGTCTGAACTCCCCTGCAGAGCTGGGGTGCTCAGCACAGCCCATCCTCACCAAGGCTCTGCCCACAGGTACCATCTTTCCATTTGTCAGAGGTTTGCTCTCTGTTCCCCATTGCATGGCAAGGCTGAAGAAGCAGGTGAAGTTGTGTTGAATCCTGCTATACCTTCTTTTTTTTTTTTTTTTTTTTTTTTTTTTTTTTTTGTTCCCACTGGGTTTTGTCCATGGCCATGTGCCATTGCTGAAGTGCTCTGATATCTCTTTATCTCCTTGCCACCACTTCGCAGTGAGTCACTGTCCTGGTTTAGGACAAATTTGGGCAGCCCAAAGCCTTGTCCTGTTGCAGATGCTCTCAGTGGTTTTGTATTTTGAATAATTCTTCTGCAGAAAACAAGGGAGGCAGAGGTGGAAACGCTTGTCAAGAAGAACTTTCAATTTATATATATTCATGCATCTACTCTTGCTTGATTTGTTTTCATGCAAATATATTTGGGGCTGTGACCCCCCTGGGTGTGGCCAGTTTTGTTTAAAGTTGAGAAGTGTCACTGTAGTTCGATAAAATCAAGGTTTCAGGACCATGTTTTCACCAAGACTTTTATCTATATTCAGAGATCTCACTGCAGTTAGCTACCTAGAATAACAGTAATTTATATAATGTGGAGCTGAAATTAAAAAAAAAAACCAACAAGTTTTTCTGTTTAAAATTATAATTGTTCAGTATCTGTGGATGTAATGCAAGTAAACAAAAAACAGAATGAAGACAAAATCATAATTTTGAGGGTAATTTTTTTTTATAAATGATGTCAAGCTAGCCATGACAGCACTTTAAAAATTACTATAATTTCAATGCAGTTCTTTGATCCCATGTTAGTGCTATGTAAAACAAGCTGTAAAGAGAGACCATTACCAGTGCCAATGATGGTGCCTGAAGGAGATTACTGTGAAGCCAGAGACTCCAAGAAACACTAAGTTTAATGCACATGAGTGAGATTTTATGCATACTAGTCAGAAAATTCAAAGTTAGGGTTCCCCTAGCAGCTGTAACTCAGCTCTGTTGTGTGAGAAAATTCTTCTGCTGCTCTTTATGATGATAATTTTTCCACTTTTAATGTGTTTTTGCAAGGTGGCCAAGTTATGATGGCTGTGGGAACCATAAAGTTAGATTTTGTCTGTCGTGCAAGGGAAATCTTACTTGCAATGCTGGATTACTGTACTTCCTGATATGTAATATGTATTTGCAGGAAGAGGAGGAAAAGAATTACATAAAGGTATTTATGTTTATTTCAGCATGTCAATACAGCTAAGATTTATGTACTTTGGTGCAGGAGCTGGTTGCCTTTTAAATGTTTCTGTAGTGCTGCACACAATGCTGCTCTCATTGGAGAGGTTTGGATGTTCCCACACTTTCACATGAGGATCGAATTCCACCTTGTGTGCATTTCTGCAGACCCAGATTGCCCTTAGCAATAAATAAATAAATCTTTGTGCTCGAATGGGCTGCGGCTGCCCTGCATCAGACCAGAGGAGTTTCCCAGGCATGTTGGTCATCCTCAGCTGAGATGATGGTCATGGGCTCCTGGAGAAGCCAGAGGAGCATCAGAGGTGTCCTGGCTGATGAATCACTTCAGACAGACTCCATGCTCGGCCACTGTACCCTCAAGGTTTTGGATGAGTCAGTATTTAGGAAGAAATGTTTAACTTCCTCTCCTAAAAAATCCTTTGGATCTTCCAGTTATTGCAGCAAGTTGGGGGAAGTTACATGTTTGTTGTAGTTTTATTTTCTCTGGTGGGTTTAACCCACCAGGCAGCTAAATATCACACAGTTTCTCTCTTATTCCTTGCTCAGTGGGAACCATCATGTGCAGGAGAGAATTGGGGGTAAAAGGTAAAATTTGTGCGTTGAGATAAGGACAGAAATGGAAGAAGTAATTACTTTAATAATATTTTGTGTATTATAATATTAAGGTATTATAACACAAAAGTCTAAAAATTTAATTATATTAATTATATATTTTATCTAATATTTAAAATGAATTAATATTTTTATAGAAATGATACAACAGTTAAAATATTCAAAACAAGTCAGCACAGTGCAATTGTTTATCACCTACTGACTGATATCCAGCCAGTTCCTCAGCAGAGGGACAGTACTTGTCCAGCAACAACTGAAATCATCAGTGTGTTATCAACATTCTTCTCACCCTAAATCCAAAACAGAACATTGTACCAACTACTACAAGGAAATTAACTCATCCAAAGCAAGGACACCTTTCCCCTTGACAATTTCTGTTTAACTTTCCCCATGAGCATTTTTTTTTTTAAACCACACAAAAAAACCCCCCCACACAAACAACAAAAAACCCCCCCAAACACCAAACCAAGTTAAAAAAACTATTTAAAAAAATCTTTAAGTGGAACTTGCTTTTTGTGTGGTGAAGGAGAAGTTGTGGTAAAGTGAGAGCAGCCGGCTGGCAGACACAACAACCTTCAGACATCAGGAGAGTTTTGTGATAAGAACCTTCAGCACCCAGTGCTGAGGAGGAGAAGAAGAAATTTATTCCTAGCTGGAAGCAGGCACTTATTTTTCCTGGATTAAACTCAAGAGACTAAGAGCAGTTACTGTAAAACAGGAAAAAGAAATATATATTTAAATTATCTGTAAGCATAAGTAAGAGCATTTCATTCATTACATGTATGTATGAGTAATTTCTTGAGTGATGCTAGGAGCATTTTCTTTCCTCTATTGTTGTCCAATTCATTGTATCTTTTGTTTTATAGTACCCATGTGGAGAAATGGATTTTGACTCTTCCCTATCATCTCAAAACTTTGATGACCAAATGGTAAGTCCTGTCATTTTGAAGCTTGATCAGAAACACAATTTATTTTAGATTTAGGTTCTTTGCTTCTCACAAATTCAAAAACTCATCAGGTGAAGAACCCATCTAGAGATTTGCCCAGTGTGGTGTTTTTTTTTTTTTTTTTTTTTTTTTTTTTTTTTTTTTTTTTTTTTTTTTTTTGCGTGGGGGGGTGTTTCAGTTTGTGGGGGATTTGTTTATTTAGTGGTGGGTTTGTGTTTTTGTTGTTTGAGTTTTTAGTCGTTCAGAGTGGTTGCTAATTTTGAATAGACCCAAATGTTCTGGATTTTTGAAGTACTCTATAATATCTATATTGTACTGGTAACTGATGAGAGCAGCACCATGAATACTCAAATGACAGTGTAGGAACAAACTGGATTAAAGTAAATACAGCAAATAACACAGCTGTAAGCTTTGGCAGATAGCAAAATGAGTTTTAGGGCAGTGTGAAGAGGCCCTGGCAGTTGTGACTTGCTACTCTCATGTAAAACATGTTTGCTTTGTGGATGAACTTCTCTACTTTTGCCCTCTGATAATCTCCCAAGTGCTGTCCAGAGCTGTTTTCACCGAGTGTTCCAGTTGGAGGATGATGCTGAGCTGTGTAACCCTGTGGCAGCACCTCTGATGAGCAAAAATCCTCTTGAGTTTGCTTCTGCTAAAGCTCACAGCCTGCACTGCCTGCCACTGGCCTTCTCTCTTTTGGAGCTGCACAAAGAAGTGCTGTGCTCTCCTCTCAGCAGCTGTGTGAAATGTGTTCTTCCTCCTGAGGTTATCAGGTGGTTACAAAGGACTTGATGATCTTTAGAGGTCTCTTCCAACTTGAGAGATGCTATGAATAGCACAAGAAACAGCTCAGAAAAAAATGAGCTGATAGGATTTGGAAAACCTGTGCAGGCATTTGTGATTGTTATATCACCACTTATTTTCAGGTGCTTTGTTGAACATACTTGATGCTGATACTTAGCTACTTGCCTAGTGAAGTAAAGCCTGGGAAAGAAATATTTTTTCTTTTCCCTCTTTTTTTTTTTTTTTCCTTTCTGTCAAAGATTGCCCTAAGGAAAGAGCAGAACTTTGTCTCTGCAGTGGCACTGGGAGCACACCTGCCTCATTTATGATCTGCTTCAAGAGGTGTGTGACTGATTCCTTTGTTCTCCTTAGGCTCTGGAGGAAGCAAACGACTGCCTGAGTGAGCTGCCCAGCCCCTTTGCCTACCTGCTGACCATCCACCTGAAGGAAGGCAGGAACCTGGTTATCAGGGATCGCTGTGGTGAGCCCCACCTTCCCTCTGGCTTCCTGCGGAATTCACACACTTTATCACTTTGTTCATTCCTTTATCACTGATCTCAGTTTGGCAGCAAGCTGGCTGCTTATCTGCAGTGCAGCAAGTCATGGTCTTGTGTCTCTCCTGCAGGTCAGAGCACTCAGAGGTTGGGTTTATCCACCCTGGATACACAGGGGAGGGAGCTGCCCTCTGCCTGTGCAGCTGCAAAGCTCCTTCTTGGCTGCCCTTAGCACCTGTACCCATTCAGGAACTGCAAGGAATTCTATTTGAACTTAAAAAAATCTCCAGAGAGATAATTGAGGTTTATTAAATGATGGAGCTGCTCTTAGGAGTGCTTTTGGGGTTATCTGCAAAGATGTTGATAAAAGGAGGGAACCACAGGAGCAGAGCTGTAAGCCAACAATCCTCTCTAACCTGGGATGTGACTGAGCAATGACGGCATCCTAAAAACCCAAAACCCCACCCTCAAATGACATATCAAATAAATAGTAAAATATTTTCGGAATTCCTGGAAAAAAAAAAAGTGTAAATACCTTCCCTTAACCAGGCTTTTATTGGGGATGTTGAAAGTGGGAGTAGAAATGCTTGTAAGCAGCCAGTCACTTGCTGTGGATGGAAGTGCTGCCAGAGGCTCTGTGCAGCCTGTAGGACCCTGAGGCAGGACCTTCAATCTGAACCTGTCAGAGAGCTCTTCCATATGTCCAGGCTTGATTTATCTGGCTTTTATTGGGGATGTTGAAAGCGGGAGTAGAAATGCTTGTGAGCAGCCAGTCACTTGTTGTGGAGGGAAGAGCTGTCCTGCCAGAGGCTCTGTGCAGCCTGTAGGACCCTGAGGCAGGACCTTCAATCTGAACCTGTCAGAGAGCTCTTCCATATGTCCAGGCTTGATTTCATATTTTTTTCCTGCATGTGGAAACAGTTCTGTTAGTTTTGTCTTGCAAATTGTCTGTGTAGCTTCTTTTGAGGTGAGGCCATGGGGTTTCTTCATTTGGTTTTAAACAAAATCAGCTTGCACAGCCTAAAGGCCTGTGAAGGTTTGCACCTGGAGGGACCTGTCTGATTTCACATGAGGTGCTTGTTGGGATTTTTGTTGTCTGGTACCTCAGTTAACTTTTTTCATGCTAGTTTTCCATGGCTTCACAAAACAGTAACTTTTAGTTGAGTGTATGCTTGTCTTTCCTACCAGTTTTTGGAAGGAGTGAACCAGTACATAGATTAAGATCTGTAGTGGTTATACAAAAGCCTGTATTTCCTAACAGTGTAGCAGTTGATCAGATTTTACTAGCAGGCTGCACAAGCCAGGACACATCCAACTTCTCCTAGGAAAAAGATGCTAGAAATGAGCAATTCCAGCAAAGTAGTATTTCTGGAGAAGACAGAGCATACTTTGCTCTAGGCTGTGTTTTGTTGTGTAAGAAAGCAAATGCTTGCCTTAGTGAAGCATTGGACAGTACAGGGAAACAACATAAGGGGGTAAAAAAATCCCTTTGGATGAGTCTCTTTTGCTTTGTGGTAAATGACCTCTCATTTAGTAAACTAACACAGGGAAACAACATAAGGGCATAAAAAATCCCTTTGGACGAGTCTCTTTTGCTTTGTGGTAAATGACCTCTCATTTAGTAAACTAAGTATGTGAGGGGATGCTTCCTTCAGTAAAACTGCTGCTTTTTATTGCACAAGCAGCAGGAGGGGAGGAAACAGTGCCCTAATGATTATTCATCAGTCACCACCATGCTGCAGTAGTGGCTCCTTAAAAAAATAAAAAGCCCACAGTGGATGCCCATCGTTACAGGGCTCTGCTGTCACTCTGGTTATGTGACATCCTTGTGTGATGCTGGGGCTTGACCTACAGCCACTGGGCTTTCTCAGTGTGCCTTTGAATGCAGGAGGTTGTCAGCTCTGCTCATCTCTTCAGTGTGAGAAAGCCCCAGAGATAACTTGTGGGCTGGGAGTGTGTGGCTTCCCTCCTCTGCCCCCACCCTGGTGCTGGTTTGAGCTGCTGTGCTGGGGTGTATCAGTGTGCTCTGAATAATTTGAATTTAGCAAAATATACACACAGACTGACTGGAGAGTTTATGCCCCAGCATCTTTAGCCTAAATAATGTTCACCATAAGTCTTGTAATTTTCCTAAATTTTAATTTTCATTTATTGTGCGATCAGTGATTTATCTGCAAAAAAATCTCAAAGCAGTTATCTAACCCATCAGTTTACATTTTTTTGAGGGAGTTTCTTTATCTACATAAAGATAAAGAAAATGGTATTTAAGTATGGTGTCCTGCTGTCTTCTCATATTTGCACTTTTCCCCTTAATTTTATTTTACAACAGTTTAAATAGCTCAGGCTTAGGGGCTGCAGTGTGGGTGGGTGATGCCCTCTCCTGGCAGCTGAGAAAAGTCTCTTGTGCTCATGTTCAGTCTGCTTCTGCCTCTGTTTTGTCCCATTGTTAGAAGTATTTATCTGTGTGTACATGTAAAAATAAATCTAAGCTGTGTGACCAAGGAGAGAAATTTCTGACATTGGAAAGGGCTATTGCTAAAAGTCATCCTGGCACTACTCATCAAATTCACAGGTTTTTCCCTGAATTTACTCATTGTATCCTTAAGTTATTAATTAGGGAATAATTATGCTGGGCCAAGTAAAGGTGAGCAGGAGTTCCATTTAGAACTGCCTACTTCACTTTTTTTCCAACTTTCCCAGTATTTTTTTCTGACTCTGCCTCACTATGTACTGCTCTTTCCAGGATATGTTCCCTTTGGTGTGATATAAATTCCTCCTTCACTTTACCAGATTTTTACTACATTTTTTCCCCTTCATAATATTAATCCTGTTAACATCTGCTCTTTCGTATTTTTTCCTTCACTTTTTACTTCTTGTATTGCTTTTTATCTGTCTCTTGTGTCTCTCATGTGACTTTCTGCAGCTCCTCTCCTTGTACTGCTCTCTTTAGAGAGGCTGCATCAGCCCAGGACACTGGTTCAGAGATGGATGTGCTTCCTCTAAATTGCAAAACAATGCAGAAAAGAAAAATAAATCAGAGTTTCAGTGTTTTCTTCGCCTCTTCTATTTTTTGAAGACTAAGTGAAAGGAAAAGCCTCTGTACAGCAAGACCCAACATACGTGCCCCAGCCAAGGAGTCCAAGTGCTGCTGGAGAAGGATCTTGGTTCTGGTGGAAAGTAGAGAAGCTCCAGAAACTCTTTTTTTTGGGTCAAAATCAGTGTCCTGTCTAGGGATGCAGGATGAGAGAGGTGTCACCTGTTGGTCATCAGCTTGCTTGGAGTGTGATTTACTTGCTCATAGTTTCACCCAGTCACACAGCAGAAACTGCCTAAGCAGATGGTAAATTTGGCATGTTACTTGTGTGCGCCTTTGGGGCCAATATTAGGCAGTGCATGGGTCTTACATTTATACTTCTTGTAGGGGATGAGCCAAACATTGAAGGTTATGTATGTGTGTACCTACACAGCACCCGAGAAGTTTAATTTTTTAAATGTATTTTTATAGTATTATTGTTACTAAATGTGTTTCAGTGATGGCAAGGAGTTTGCATCTGTGTAATTTTAATGCTGCAGGTAGTAAGAAAGCAGAAATGTATTTTTTAAATTAAAATCTGTGGAGCACTGGAGCAGCTTGGCAGAACAGAGAGATGATTATTCTGTACCTCATTTGGCATTAAATAAAATCACCGCTGCTTTGAGTGTTGGCATCTTGTGGCACCCTTAGTGGTTTTAGGGCCTTGTTGAACCTTGTTTTGTGAAGTCCAGCTTTATGCTTTGAGCTGGGAGAGGCTGGAGCCCACTTCCACCTGCTAGTTCATCTTCACAGGGCAGGGTGATGCCTTGTGGTTCTTTGAGTCAACCTGAAGAAATCTCCAAGGTCCTGCTCCCCTTTGGCACTGGGATGCTCTGGCTGTGCACGTTGCTCCTGGTCGAGTCACACTTCCAGAGCAGTGAACAAAGTGATGCCACAGCTGTAAGGAAGGGCTGCCTTCCTTCAGGTGGCAAACCCAGCTCTGCTGCTGTAAGAGTAAACAGAAACTGGGCTTTGAGTGCCTGTGAGGGTGAGAAGCCCCTCCCATTTCCAAATCCTGTGCTTTTAAAGTTCATTTTTCATCTGTTAAACAGTGTAGTTACAAGAAACAGTTCTCTGATGTGGCTGTGGTTGGTGTCTTTTTTCTTTTTCTTTCCCTTTTAACCACATGTTCCAGCCTGAGCTTTGTGTGTGCCTCTTTTCTACCTGGTTTTGTGTTTCGTGGATTTTTTTACGGGACCTTTGTGCCCCGTCTCTGTTTCTTCCTTTCAGGTTTCATATGTTTCCTGTTGCTGCACTTTAGTTTTCCTCTTGTTCCTTTCCTCTCACGATGGAGGCAGTGTGAAGGGAGCAAGGGAAGAAGATGCAACACCTCTGTGGGTGCATCCTGCTGTCCTTGTGCTCAGCTCATCATCCTCTGCTCTCACATCTCACAGCCCCCACTGCCACAGGGTCCTGGGGGGCTCCTGTGAGCTGTGCCACAGATCAGCCTCCCAAGGACAAAATAAAAGGAAAGAAACTTGTAGAATAACATACACTTTTAACTTCCAGCAGCAGTGAGCCTGCAGGAACCTACACTCATAGCTCTGGGCTATCCAGGACCTTGGTGATCCCAGTGGGTTTTGCCAAGTCAGGGTGTTTTATCATTCTGTGATTCACTGCCTGGGTCTGTGCTGATACCAGAGTGCCAGAGGAAGGGATGTGTGTGTGCTCTGCTGGGTATTTGTCAGCTTAGAGCAAGTAATTGTTTGGAAAGCAAATGCTCACAGCAATTAGGCTGAATTGCTCTCTGCAAACACGCTGATTAATTTAGACTTTCTCTGTTTTCAGGGTATCTGCAATTAGATCATTAGGCCTTCAGATTTATTAATTATTGCCATGTATTAGGCAACTTCTCACACTTCTTTTTGAAAGGCGTAATCATGGCTAATTTACAAATGCTGAGAGTTTGGATGG